AAATCAGGCTGAAGTTCATGTTTTTTTTTTTTCGAATTTACACATTCGAACTTTGGTCGACCTGTGGTCGACGCATCTCGACTTTTCGTGGTTGAGGAGCAGCGTCAGCAATTCCGAGTCGCGCATGGAACAACAAAGTTCGAATATCAGAGTTCAACTTTAAACAGTAGATTACAAGTCGCGCTAGACTTCTGTAGGTTACCCGGTTGTGCGGTGCAGTTCATGACCGGACCTGAAATTGGTAACCCGACACATTTTCCCTCGTCATTGTCGTGAAGCCTCGCAAAATTCCGGGCGTGCGTTAAAGAACACATGATTGGAAAAAGGTAAACGTTAAAATCCGAACGCTGGTCGACTTCAGTTTAGTGTCCAACTTCCTTCACACAGTTTGAACTAGGACACACGATTCCCTCGCGAAGATTTTGGCGAAAATAACGAACGGGTTACCAGCAAAATTTCGACCCTATTTTCGAACGTCTACACCAAAAGATACGCGCCCTTACCTTTTGCACCTCGACCCCCTCGGCCCTCCCACTCGACAGTGCCTACAAATCTGCAGCTGGAGAAATCATTCAATCAGGGCGTATCCATGTTTGGGTCATGGGCACTGTTCCGGGCATCTGCAATTTGCGGATGACCCGAACAACATAAAACGCCACTTTGGGTCCTCCGAACTCATACGACCCCCAAAGAGCCGCGAAGGTTTTCGCGCCAAAATCACGCTCCCCACAACAGTCGCATCCAATGGAGGGATGCCAGAACAGTTCGAAACATCCGTAGCAAGACCCACGCGAAACCACGCGAAACCCACCGAAAAAACACAATCGTCAAAATTCCCAGCGTGAATCCCCAAATGTTGGGAGCGCGACGCGGGAATTTTTTTACCCACTCCTGGTCACTAGGGTCAATTTGCAGAGTGGTTGGGTGCAGAGGTGTAAGACGTGGGACAGTGCCCACTTGTGACACTCGACTGACGACCACCAAAATCTGGCAGTAAATCCAGAATCGTGCAACCAGGTGATAGGTTGGGGGTGGGTCGTGCACGTCAGTCGCCCAACACCTGCACATTGACCCAAAGCTGGGGCCGCGCGCGGCTTGGCAGCCCACTTCGGGTCATGCGCAAATTCCGCATGACCCAAACAGTAGCCAGAACAGTGCTCATGACCCGAACATGGATACGCCCTCATTGTGCCTACCAAAGCTTCTTGCATAGAGATCATCTTCACGTTTGCTCATCTCTTGAAGAATCAGCACACTATGGCCTTTGAGTCTGACCGCCCTTCGTACTTCAACACTCTTAGCATCTAGAAGAGCCTAAATAGCAACAAGCCGACGCAGCCATCGCTGCCGCCTCGGAGCTCCTACAGCAACGCGAGCAAACTCCGCCAGGTTAGCAGCCTCAGCGTGACACCCTGCTGCAGCGACACCAGCGACGCGATGCTCTCCTGCTCCGACACCAGCAGTTAGAGCGTCGGCGACGCCAGCCGCAGCGACGCCTGCCTTATCGAAGCTCCAGCATCGCACGGTTCGACGACGTTGCCGGATCCGACGACTTCCGATCTGAAGTTCTCTGATCCGACGATGCCAGGCCGAGAAACGTCAGATCTGGTGGCCTTTGTACCGGATGTGACCTCGAAAAGTACGACCTCGGAACAACTTCTGACTTTCGAAACGGTAACGTCCGAACCAGCAGCGTCCGAATCGGTGACGTCCGAAGCGGTGACGTCGGAACCAGTGATGTCAGAACCGGTAACGTCGCCGCCGGCTGAAGTTTCTCCGACGGCCGTAGCAGCTGGCTTGGCGAAGGCAGCTGCGACACTTTCAGTACATCATGGCTCACACCTGCTGCCGTCTCGCATCCCCAAACCAAGCGGTCAGAGAGCGATCGTGAAAAGCCGCGCGGATGGGACGACGTTGATTCCGCGGCCCGCAGGAGCGGCTGCAACTGAGAGGCAGGTGCGAAGCAGACGGCGTTCCAACGACACGAAGCAGCAGGAGGAGCGAGCGTCTGCCAGTCAAACATTATATATGTTTCTGTTGTATAGGCTACAGTGGGTTAGCCTTTAGGGGGTACACTTCTCTAGGGTTTCCTACTTGTACTCCAACATCTTTCTAGTTCAACACTTCTTGTTTCTGACATGGTATCAGAGCTTAAGTTCTAGACCTAGGACTTACCTAAGGGCCCACCGTTAGAAGCGCCCTCGAGCGCCGTATCGACTTAGCGCCCTCGAGCGCCTCTCTCCTAGTGCGCCCTCGTGCGCCCCTCCTTCTCTTGCTGCCCGTGCGCAGCTCGCTAGTGCCGCGCGCGGCCTTTTTTTTTATTTTTAGCGCGCGTCGCCTGCTAGAAGCCCGCACGCGGCCGTTTCTACGCGCGCGCCGACCGCTAGCCGCCCACGCCGCCACGAGCAGCCCTCTAGCCGCCCGTCGACTGGCCCCCCTGGCCGCGCGTAGCCCGCTAGCGGCCCGCAGCCCTGCCCGTAGGCCGCCGCGTCGCCCTTGTAAGCCGCCGCCCGCGCACGACTGCAGCCCACGCACAGCCCGCGACAGGGAGCGACACGAGTAGGGGGCCGACAGCTGACCTGACGCAGACGCAGACGCAGCTACATGAGGGGACTCAGTGGTCAGTGTGTACAAGTCCGACCCTGCTGCCGAGTGAAGGTAGCCAGGTGACGACCCGTCTGGGGTGAGTGTGCTCTAGGCACGGACGTCCTTAAGGACAGACAGGAGGACCTTGAGTGTCTTGCAGCCGCTGCGCCTCATCTCGTGTCCATGCTGATTGCCCCTGAGGGAGACCCGGATGCTCCAGACATCCCGACCCCGCGCTCTTACGCTGAGGCGATCGCGGGTGAGTACTCCTCTCAGTGGCAGTCAGCCATGGACGTAAAGATGGCATCCTGGAAGTCCACTGGCACTTACGTCGACGAGGTTCCCCCACCTGGGGCGAACATCGTCAGTGGCATGTGGATTTTCAGGGTGAAGCGGCCGCCGGGTTCTCCGCCTGTCTTCAAGGCTCGTTACGTTGCTCGAGGCTTCAGTTAGCGAGAGGGAGTAGACTTCTTTCAGACCTTCTCCCCCACCCCGAAGATGACCACTCTTCGGGTGCTAGTGCACGTTGCTGCTCAGCGTGACTACGAGCTTCACTCTCTTCACTTCAGCACAGCTTTCTTGCAGGGCAGCCTGCACGAGGAGATTTGGCTGCGCCGCCCTCCTGGCTTCACTGGGTCGTTTCCTCCTGGTACCCAGTGGAGCCTCCGGCGGCCGGTCTACGGTCTCCGCCAGGCGCCACGTGAGTGGCACGACACACTGAGGACTACTCTTGCGGCACTTGGGTTCGCGCCTTCTACTGGTGACCCGTCGCTGTTTCTGCGCACCGACACTTCGCTGCCGCCGTTCTACATCATCGTGTACGTCGACGACTTGGTCTTTGCCACTGCTGACACTGAGGCTCTCGCCCACGTGAAGTCGGAGCTGCAGAAGAGACACACGTGCATAGACCTGGGTGAACTGCGCAGCTACCTTGGCTTGTAGATCACCCGGGATAGAGCACGCCGCACCATCACACTGACTCAGTCACACATGGTGCAGCAGGTCCTTCAGCGCTTCGGCTTCACCTGGTCCTCAGCACAGGCCACTCCTCTGGCTACAGGTCACTCGCTCTCAGCTCTGCCTTCGGATGAGTCCGTAGAGCCGAGTGGTCCTTACCCAGAGCTAGTTGGTGGCCTCATGTACCTGATGACTTGCACGCGTCCTGACCTAGCGTACCCTCTTGGCCTTCTGGCCCGCTACGTGGCTCCTGGTAGGCACCGAAAGGTGCACTGGGATGCTGCAAAGAGGGTATTGCGCTACTTGTGCAGTACACCGGGCATGGGGCTCGTGCTTGGAGGAGGGAGCTCAGTTGTTCTCACTAGGCACTCAGACGCTTCTTGGGTTGACGACCAAGCTACTCAGCGGTCGTCACAGGGTTACACCTTCAGCCTTGGCTCTGGCTCAGTTTCGTGGCGTTCTACGCGTTCGTCTTCAGTTCTCAGCTCCAGTTGTGAGGCTGAGATCTACGCCACAGCCATGGCTGCACAGGAGTTACGCTGGCTCACCTACCTGCTGACTGACCTGGGAGAGCGGCCTCGTTCTCCTCTAGTGCTGTACGTCGACAACAAGGCTGCCATTGCCTTGTGTTAGGAGCACAGACTGGAGCATAGAACGAAGCACATTGCTCTACGTTACTTTCTGGCTCGAGAGTTGCAGCAGCGTGGTCAGCTTCGTCTGCGTTACGTGGCCACTCAGGCCAACACTGCTGATATATTCACCAAGGCACTTCAGTCTGGTGATCATCAGCGTTTCTCCACTTTGCTAGGGCTTGTGCCCACTTTTCCTCACTTGTTGTAAACTTTGCCTGTACTGTGATCTATATATATATACCTGCATGCTTGCTAGATATTGATCAATGTGATGCTTGTGCTACATATATGCCTTTGCATGTGAACTGGCCTTGTGGTCCTTTGCTTGTGCTTAGAGTGTGTGGTGACGTTGTGATCCACCCTGAGCTTGCTTTGTCTTTCTTGACTGGTCCTGTGACCCCTTGCTCTCCCCCACTTAGCCTATGGGGGTGTGTCAAACATTATATATGTTTTTGTTGTGTAGGCTAAAGTGGGTTAGCCTTTAGGGGGTACACTTCTCTAGGGTTTCCTACTTGTACTCCAACATCTTTCTAGTTCAACACTTCTTGTTTCTGACACTGCCGTCATCCCTAAGGAAGCTTCGTGCCGGATCGTCATTCAAGGTGGGGCTGGCTGCCAGCTCACGTCGTCCGTGGTGGCCATAAGCGCCGCTTTGGATCACTGCAAGCTTAGCGTGAATATGAGAATGAGAACGGGGACCTCAATTCTATATGGGTTAAAGAAATAAAAAGAATTAAGAGAAAAAAACAAAAAAAAACTTACCAAAACAACGTTACAAAAAAATTATTTGAGAAGCAGCAAAGGAATTACTCCAGCGGGATGACGATGGAGAGCATAGAAACAGAGCCTCGAGCAGATTGCAGCAGTGGGGTGGTGGTTGGGAGGCTGGGAAAGTGGGATGATGGTGGGTCCCTTTTTTGCACCCTGCTCGTCAGGGTGTTCGGGAGAGTGGGTTGGGAATCGGTGGGGGTGGTAAGGGTAATTATCTACTGCCATGTGGTTGTGGCTGTGCTTTCAGTGTGCTCCTCCAGGTTGACATCAAGTCCAGTGCGCTCCCAAAGGGATGGCAAAGGTCAGTTGCGCTCCCATAGGGATGGCTCTGGTCCGGTGCGCTCCCAAAGGGATGGCTCTGGTCCGGTGCGCTTCCAGCGGGATGACTCTTGTCCGGTGCGCTCCCAGAGGGATAACTCTGGTCTGGTGCGCTCCCGAAAGGATGGCTCTGGTCCGGTGCGCTCTCAAACCGACGGCTCTGGTCCGGTGCGCTCCCGAAAGGATGGCTCTGGTCCGGTGCGCTCCCAAACGGATGGCTCTGGTCCGGTGCGCTCCCAAAGGGATGGCTCGGGTCCGGTTCGCTCCCAAAGAGATGGCTCTGGCCCGGTGCGCTCCCAAAGGGATGGCTCTGGTCCGGAGCACTCCCAACAGGATGGCTCTGGTCAGGTGTACTCCAAAAGGATGGCTCTGGACTAAATGTCTGTCAGTTAGAGATGGTTATGGCTCTTCTTGTCTTAGGCTCATTTACATATTCAATATTATTGTGGGTTAAGAAATTTATGCACTTCTCCGAGTCAGAACTGTGGTTGAGGGAATGAAGGCAAGAACAAGCTAGTGCCTGACTTAACAGTACGGAAAAAAAAACTCTGAAGACACCATAAATATGCACAAACTCATCATACTTGTGATAAAGGTGATGCAATCAAGGATGCCAGCACTAGGAGGTGATTTGCCAAATAGCGCACACTACATCTTATTTCTGTCTTGGAGCACTGGAGAAGAAGCAAGGCAGGTGCAAGTCCAGAGCTCCCACAGCTGCAGGAGCAAATTCTGTGCTCTGCTCCTTACTTTCCTGTCTCTCCAGATCAGACCTCAAATCCTATGACTGGAGCAGTTGAGTTTCAGAAGCCTCGTAACTTGCACTTTTTCGCGCTAGCCCCTGGGTGGACGGGAGCAGCAGCAGCCACGGCAACAAGTACCAGAGCCCCCACAGCAGCAGCTAGGGACGTACCCCACAGCACCAGGGCCGTGTGGGCAGCACACCCCCCCGGCACCTCCCACAGCAACGCCCCTTCTGCCGCCATCTCCCTCCTCACCTCCTCATGCCTTTCCTCTGCTTCGTCTCCCTCCGAGTCTCCTCCCAGTCTTGCTGCTCCCCCAGACCTGTCCGTTTCCCCATCTGCAGCTGCTGGTTGTGACGACCAGGTGAGCCGCATGGGAAGGCACTCACAGCGGGGTGTAGTGACGGCGTCACATACTGCTGACAGTGATGCTTCTGCGCATGATGGTGATGCTGATGCTGATGTGGGCGATTTTGGTGCTGAGGATGGTGGGGATGATGATTCTACTGCTGGTGCGGACGCTGATGGTGGTGACTCTGGTGCTGAGGAGGATGGCGCTGATGGGTGCAAGGCGGATGGCCCCGGGCCGATTGGGGGAGGAGGCAGGACGAGGCATGCAGAAGGCAAGGGCACGTAAACCGCTGCGTGTGATTGGCTGCAGCTGCCGGTGATGGCCCATGAGAGAGAGGAGACGGTGGAGAGAGAGGAGTGAGTAGAGTGGTTTCCAGAAAGGGCGACTTGAAGTTGTTGCAAGTCCCAGGGGAGGGACGCAAGTGTTAGGAGCGAGCGAGAGGCGGAGCGGAGGAGGGAGAGAGGGGAGAGTGGGGGGGAGAGAGTTGGCAGCACAGCCTGGCAGGGACAAGCAGGGGGAGGGCAGGGGGATAAAGGGAGGCGGTGATTGGGGACTAATAGAGGAAGTTGAATCTATCATGCTGGTAAGCAGTTCTTGGTGTACCTGGTAACCTTTTCAGAAACAAAAGTGCTGTGCCGTGCTTGATGATGACATTGGAGAGGCAGCAGGGGCAGTGAGGGATTGAGAGAGACGAATGCACAATTTGTTTCACGGGAATTCATCATTCCGAACCAGCCTGCACAGAGGAATCTATGATAGCTGGAGGATACAGAGTCGTTACAGGTTATGCAGATTGCGAAGCTTACTATGAAACAAGGGGGTTGGTGGGCAACAAGACGATAAGAAAATGTGAACAAATGGAAGAGTCATTAAGATAGCGTGGTTACCGGGTAACGAGAGTGCAGAGGCAGGCTGAACTCCACTGAGTAAGTAACCTCATCTTCCCCCTCACGCACGCCCCCCTTCTCCCCCTTCCTCTCCCCCGCGTGCACGTCCCCTTCCCCCTTTCTCACTTTTCCCCCTGCGCCTTCCCCCTCCCCCTTCCGCTCCCCCTCTCCCAATGCCACGTCCCTTTCCATGAGAGCCACTGTTGCTTCACACCGAGGCGCCGGCTGCTCCAGCTCCACCGGACCTACCACCCAGGCTCGGTCGCCCTCTGGCTCGGAGGGGCCGGAGGGAGGAAAGGGAGTAACAGGGGTAGGAGGGAGTGCGGAAGGGGTGAGAGGCAAAAGCATATTAAGGAAGGAGAGCAGGAGAGAGACGAGGCAGAAGGGTGGGGTTCAAGGCAAAAGCAGAATAATAATCAGCACCAACAGCACACCCTCACTGCACGCTCTTCCCCCATTCATCGCACCTGTACCCTCCTCAATGCGCCCCTTCCCCCATCACTGCACACTCCCCCGCCTTCACTGCGCATCTCCCCACTTCCGCTCTCCCTCTGCTTCCCCCCTCACGCGCCCAGAAACGCCTCCCCATCACCTGGTCGCAGGATTCGCTCCAGCTCTGCCTCGGCTGCGCTGCCCAGTGCCCACAGCTCCGCCTAAACTGCGCTACCCATTCCTCTGCGCGCTTCTCCCCCTCGTCTCACCATCCCAAGCGCCCACTAACCCGCCCCCCCCCCCCCTCCCTCACCTGGTCGCAGGATTCGCTCCAGCTCAAACGGATCGGCATACAGCCCACGTGGCACGGGCTGCTCCAATCGTATTGTGGCACGTGTCCTCCCTGCCGCCCCACCGCTTCCCACGCTTTCACTTGCAGCAGTGCAGCTACTGAGCTCTGGAACCGCTCTGCACCCATCTGTCGGCCGCTCCTTCTCTCCGCCGTCGGTTCTCCCTCCTTCCGTTTCCCCCTCATTCCCATTGTAACCGCGACTCCCCGTTCTCGTAACGGGCGCTTCTCCGCACGCCACGTGCGCACCGCCTGGATGACGTGGACGGAACACATCGGCGGGGCATGCCACGTGGAGTGACGTGCGCAGCACGCGGTGCGCCCCGCGGCCTTCGAGGCTCCGCGCGGCGACCCGCGCTGCGCAAGGCGCGGAGGGGAGGCGGATGGGATGCGGAAGCACGAGCGGCAGGAGGGAGAGGAGCAAGAAAAGGAGCACAAATCGCGGGGCCATGGCGAACACGGAAGAGACTATGGAGCGATATTCGACTAATATAATTGATCCGCAGTGCTTCGTGGCGCCGTTCTCCCGCCGAGAACGCGTGTCCCGAAGCGCTGCGACGCGGCACGAATGTTTCCAATAGGCTAGCATACTAAGCCCAGCACTGACATACTACTGAACCCGTCCGAGTTTCCGTCAGGAAAATTAGCTCACTGAATGCACATTTATGGCTACATAAATGTGATTAGGGCGTGTCCAGCGCGTACGTTTTCCGTACATTACAGTTCATTCAGTGCGGTAATTTGTATTGCGTCACGCTTCATAACGGTGAAATTTCAGAACCGCTGTGCACCATCTAATATTTTTTCAAACCACGACGAATGAACTGTTTAGTACCTGTAAACGTACGCGCTGGACCCGCCCTTAGAACTTGGAAGCACTATCATTGGGAAGGCAGCATTCTGCTTTGTGGGACAAACGCCATATGTCAATGGTCTGATGATAATGTGTGCTAGCAGTGGGTAACTTCAGGTTTAGATCGTTTCCATTCGGTTCCGACCCCAATGCAGGGATGAGCAAAAGCTTGTCGTGGGGTTGGTGGAGTTCAGCGCGGTGGTGACAGGTACAGTGTTGACGGAAGCTATGAACATTGTTGATGTGGCAAGCGATACCGATTCGGAAGACATATAAGCCGCAATGCACCACACTGATTCTTCTACTTATGAAGCGCATCGAAATTACGGTTACTGTACCATCCCTTCGGGGTCGATCTAGCACGAATCGCGGACAGCTGACTTGTACATAAACGGGTAGCGGCTACCTCTGCTGCTGACCTATTCACTACTGTCGCCGCTTTTCCCTCTGCTCGCTATTGTCCCGTCGCACACCTTGCCGCACACCTCGTCGCACACCTCGCCGCACATTTCGCAGCACGTCACACCGCACATCGCGCCATGTTGTTCCACGCGGCGGGCGCGGAGGGCAGTCGGCCGACGTTCTTCGAGATGGCGGCGGCGGACTTCCTCCCCGCCTCGCTAAAAGCCGCCGCGCTATACGCCCTCGGGGTGCGTGCTACATTACACGGCCATGTCTGCTGATCCCACTTGGGGCAAAAAAAGGGGGAAGGGAGGGGGGGGTTACGTAAAAAACTGCCACGTTATCTTATGCTATTTGGGGGGTTGGGGAAGAGGGGAAGAGGCGGAGCCGGGGAAGCAGACAAGGGGGAGCGGAGGGGGCGGAGGGAGGGAGAGTGGGGAGGGGGAGAGTCAGCAGCACTCAGAGGGTAAGCTGACTCATGACCAGCTTATTATGGCGTATCGCCCTCTTATCCCCCCCCTGCTCTTATCACCACCGCTGCTGCACCATCACCCATGAGCGTGCTGCGATGAGCCTCAATGCACACTCCCGCTTCCCTTCCCCTTCCCCCAACACCCCCTCCCCCCTCCTCCACCCCTCCACTCCCCGCCTGGCAGGTGTTGGCACAGCACCGTCCCTCGCTGCACCGCCTGCTGGACCACAGCGACGAGCTCTCTGCTGCTGCGCTGCTGCTGCTGGAGTGGCACTCGCTCAAAACACATGGTACTGCACTCTGCACTCGTTATTAGCTCTTGTTGTGGCCAGGACAGTCTTCCTCTCTGCCTCCCTTAAGTATTACTACCGCCACATTACACCTCTCCCAACTCCCCCCATGTTCCTGCGGCCCGCCCTTGAGCCTTTCCATGCCATTCCGTCGCCGTCGTCATCATCGCTTCCCTTCCCTCCAACTCAACCCTCCCTCACTGCTTCTCATCTCATCCCCCCCAGGCGCCTCCTTTGGTGAGTCCATGTACGGCCTTCGCCGCATCTCCACCGTTCCCCACCGCCCTTCACCCAGCCAAGCAGCACTACGAACAGGGGCCACAGCAGGGGGAGCAGCAGGAGGGGCGGAGGGGGCAGGCAGAGGAGAGAGGGCGGCAGGGGGACAGGAGGGCGGGTCAGCATCATACGGCATGTCTCGCAAGCAGCGGGCGCTGTCTCTTCTCTTTCTGGTCAGTTTAAGGTTAGGGTTGGGATTCAGGGTTAGGGTTCAGGGTTGGGTTATTTTATTTGTGATTTCTGGCTGAGGGTGCTACCACCCTTTCATCTCTTCACTACACCCCATACCCTCTACCACATACCAGGTTCTCCTGCCCTACCTGCGCGCCAAGCTGCATGCTCTGTTTGCTATAAGCTGTAGCCCTACCACCACCCTTTCATCTCTCCACTATAACCCATACCCTCTACCACATACCAGGTTCTCCTGCCCTACCTGCGCGCCAAGCTGCATCCTGTACCCATCCTTACCCATTCGTCTCTCCACCACACCACATCCCTTTTACTGCACGGCAGGTGCTGCTGCCCTACCTGCGCGCCAAGCTGCATGCTCTGTTTGCTGTTCGCTAGAGGCAGAGGCAGGCCCGCTCTTTAAGTCGACTCAAAACACACCCTAGCCTTTACCACATACCACATACCAGGTGCTGCTGCCCTACCTGCGCGCCAAGCTGCATGCTCTGTTTGCTGTTCGCTAGAGGCAGAGGCAGGCCCGCTCTTTAAGTCGACTCAAAACACACCCTACCCTTTACCACATACCACATTGTCGGAGAACCACCTCATCCTTGCAACCTGCTCGTCCTCTTGTCACTCCCTTGCCTTCCTTCTCCTTACGTGGTTGATCAGCCTCAGCCACTATGAAAGAGTTTCCTCCCTCACCCCGTAGGTCCTCCCATAGTGGAGTGCCACCGGATGCTAGATCTGAGGTAACAGCTTTCCACTAATATGAGAGAATAACAGGAGAAAAGCAACGAGAGGGTGTTTGGTACTGAATTTACCTGAACCTGGCTCAGTCGCACACTTCTCGATGTGCGCCTCGAGCCAGGCCCAGTTGCTTCAGATTGGTTCGTTAGATTCCCACCCCTCGATGTTTCCTCTAACCCTTCCCAACAACTTCGCCTCAACCCCCCATACTCCCCAGCAACTCACCCACAAATTGTAATCATACAAAGACTACACCTGAACCTACACTTGCATCTACACCCGCGCACCAACTGTTATCGCATATGCACGAAGTGCATATTCGGTGACAGCTGTCGGAGAACCACCTCATCCTTGCAACCTGCTCTTCCTCTTGTCACTCCCTTGCCTTCCTTCTCCTTACGTGGTTGATCAGCCTCAGCCACCACCTGCCCCCTCCTGTGCCCGTGCTCGGGCTGCCTGAGCTCGGGTCACAGGACCATGCTGCTGAGGCCTTGTTCCTTTGACTCCTGCCGTGTTGCTCTGATGTGCCTTCACCGGTACTTCTTTCTCATTCTCCAGCACCAGCACCCCAGATTCACGCACCTCTTTTACTCTCCACTACCCTGCTTCACAACTTTCCACCCACCCGTTCACTTGCCTGGGCATTCTCTCCCACCACCATTCCCTGTTTAACAGCTGCACCATTCTCTCGTGGTCGAGTTGCCCCTGCTTGGTGTGCACTTCTTTGATTACTGGTTTCCTCTCGCCTGGTGCGGGTATCACCCTCCATCTCTCCGTCGGCTGCATCTGCAGCTCCTGTTGATACCACCTGCAGTGGTGCCCCCCCCTCACTCTCGCTCTCTCTGTCACTGCCTCCTCTTCTTCCGTTTCCCCCATCAGCCACTTCATGGCCCGCTCATTCTCCGAGATGTTTGCTGATTTCCTACTCCCCTTAACCTCATTCAGCACCACCTGCTTAGTCAGCAGCTCCCTAAATTTACCCTTGCATATCTCCTTATCCTCCGGCGGCCTTTTCCTCCTCCCGTGTAACACCAGTTTGCGGCTGCTCAGCTTTAGCTCCCACTGCTTTACCGGGCCCTTACGCCCCTCCTGTGTGGCAAAGCGCCTCCAGTGTTTCGCTAGCATTGCCAACATCACCTTCTTCCCTTCTTCGCTCACTGTCTCTCCCCCCTTCCACTCTGGATTCTCCCCTTCCATGCGGGCCCAGGCTCCTTGTGGGACTGCGGCTGCCTCTGCTTTTCCTCCCACCTGCTCGTCCCGTTCCTCCGCTCCAGTTGCTGCTGATACACCCGCTTCTACCCCCACCTGCTCGTCCCGTTCCTCCGCTCCAGTTGCTGCTGATACACCCGCTTCTGCCCCCACCTGCTCGTCCCGTTCCTCCGCTCCAGTTGCTGCTGATACACCCGCTTCTGCCCCCACCTGCTCGTCCCGTTCCTCCGCTCCAGTTGCTGCTGATACACCCGCTTCTGCCCCCACCTGCTCGTCCTTCTCTTCCGCTTTTGCTACTGCTGATGAGCACGCCTGTGCCCCCACCTTCCCGTCCTTCCCTTCCGCTTTTGCTACTGCTGATGTGCACGCCTGTGCCCCCACCTTCCCGTCCTTCCCTTCCGCTTTTGCTACTGCTGATGTGCACGCCTGTGCCCCCACCTTCCCGTCCTTCCCTTCCGCTTTTGCTACTGCTGATGTGCACGCATGTGCCCCCACCTTCTCGTCCTTCCCTTCCGCTTTTGCTACTGCTGATGTGCACGCCTGTGCCCCCACCTTCTCGTCCTTCCCTTCCGCTTTTGCTACTGCTGATGTGCACGCCTGTGCCCCCACCTTCCCGTCCTTCTCTTCCAATTTTGCTACCGCTGATGTGCACACCTGTGCCCTCACCTTCCCGTCCTTCTCTTCAACTTTTGCTACTGCTGATGTGCACGCCTGTGTAGGTCTGTAAAAGAATATTCGTATTCGGTAACTATTCGATATTCGCTTCGAATACCGCAATTCGTAAGAATAGAATACGACGGAGTATTCGTCAATATTCGCTTCAGAGGTATTCGTAGAATAGGAATACCGGGTCAAGAATATTCTGGGTATTCGATACTATTCGCTATTCGGACATTATTGCCCCTCAATACTTGACCATGCATTTTACATCGATTTTTGCAGGGAACGGTGATACTGCCAAGTTTGACGGTTAATTTCTGCATCACCCGTCTTTTACGTAAGTTGCCACATCATGAAAGACATCATAAAATGTGTACAGTTGTATGTTTTTTTAATTATATGACATGAAATATTTGAGAGACTATACAGTTTCTTTTTTAAAGCAGTGTGTATTTATATATCACAAAGTCATGGTAACCGCGCAACAGCACCCACACATTTTTAGCGGATTTCTGGCCGTTTGCCGCCCTGCCGAAAATTGGCGGTTTCCTGCTATGCGGCGGCTGTTGTTGACGGCGAACTCAGAGGGCCTTCCTGGGATGGGGCCCCAACCGACGTGCCACCAGCAACAGTGCACGGGGGGGGGAGAATGTGGACATCGCACGATTTGGAAGGTCGTGTCAGAACGATTTTAGCGCTAGACTGTCACGGAACCCGGTCGTGACTCGTGGGTAGTTGTCGCACGTGAAAAAATTCAATCAAGAACGCGCACAAATTTTTGAATCATTATCTCCCTAAAATTACGGAAGTTCCCTCACAGTACGGGAGTAGGGGGCCGTTGAAAAATGACGCAATTATATTCGAATTGGACGCTGTTACGTGGTTGCGCCAATTGAAGAATCGACTCTCGCCTTAAGCGAAGAGAAACATTGGCGCAAATATCTAGGGGTGCTTTCGCGGACTGACAACCGCGCAAATTTCATGCGAGGTTACTTCGAAAAAACAAACGGTAAGTCTCCCGAGTCAATGGCGCGGAATTCTTGAAGTGCCCGTTTTTTTTTTTGAAAATATTCCCCGCGTTGCAGGTGCACGTCCCGCGTGCACCTCGAAATTTTCAGTGCTAATGTTCTGCGCCACTTACTATAAACACAGTTTAACTTCAGACTTGAATCCAGAGTTCTCAAAGAGTTTATCAAATCTGAAAACGCTGGACGCTCTTAACATTCCTGAAACGACGCAAGTTACGATGGCGCCCGTCGATGCAACAATGCAGTCTAACATCCATGACGACGCTTCTGCAGTAAATCCGCCTGCTGAGCAAGGATCGGTCGCCGTCCTGTCGAACTCAGATAAGCGTGTACGATCCGTAACCTGCTCCGCTCCCAACAATGAAGACGGGGCAACGCCAGAGTCCAAAAAAAGGGCGAAGACAGCTCCTTGCTGGCAAGTTTTTGAAGCTGAAGGTAGTGAAACGGCTCGATGTCTTCTGTGTCCAACAAGACAAATCTTCAAAGTTCCTAAGGGTTCAACTACATCTGGTATGAAGAATCATTTGAAAACCCAACACCCTATTCGCCATGCTGAGTTGTACCCTGACGAATCTTCATCTGGCCTTCAGAGCATTGAAAAGTGCATTTCACGAGGCACGTACTCGGATGCGGAAAATCGTCGCCGACTGGTACGTATTTTCTCCAAGGGCGTCATTTCTTTCTCCTTTATCGAGTCCGCTGAATTGAAAAAATATTTGCAGTGGCTGGAGCCACAAGTCAAAGTCCCTTGTCGTGTCACTATCGCAACTGACATCATGAAAGCCTACGAAGATCTCCGCGCAAAGCTAAAGAAGCGACTTGGTGCCTTGTCTTCGAAAATCTCCTTTACGTGTGACCTGTGGACAGCACCCAACATGGATCCTTACATGGCCATTACTGCACACTGGATCGACGAAAACTTTGAAAGTAAGTCGATTTTGTTAGATTTTCGGCGTCTGGGAGGACAACACACCGGAGAGGCAATCAAGGAGGCCTTCATTGATTCTGTCTACACACAATGGGAATTGCAAGACAAGGTAATGGGGCTCACAGTTGACAATGCTTCTACAAATGAGAAGTTCCTGTCGCTGCTTGCAGAGGAAAAAATATTCTGCAAGGACAGGCGCCTTATGTGCTTTGCTCATGTCCTGCACCTCGCTGCAGAATGCTTTCTGAAGGCGCCTCGTGTTGATCGAGCGCTAGCAAAAATCCGGGGACTTGCAGTTTACCTCGGTGGCTCATCCCAGCGCAAGGAGAAGTTCTCGAACATCTGCCTGGAGAAAAAAATTAAGGACAAAAGATCGCTTAAGCAAGATACCCCAACCAGATGGGGCAGCGCTTACGCCATGGTGGACCGCGCCAGGGATTTGAAGCCCGCCATATCTGCGTACATGAAGGAGGTGCCGGATGAGGTTTTTGAGAAGCTAAGAATGAGGGAAGAAGAGTGGGAATCTCTTGACCAGGTGCACTCAATTCTGGCTCCATTGCATGAGATCACTACCATTTTGGAAGCATCATCATATGCAACTGTTTCTCTCTGCATCCCTCTCATGAATTAACTCATGGACATTCTTGAGCGTGGTGTGGAAAGGGAAGATGACTTCAGTGATGCTTGTGCAGCTGGACTTGGAAACTCGAGAAATACTACAACAAGACGTCGGAGGAGTACACCATTGCAACAATTCTGGACCCACGTTTCAACCTGAGCTACTATACCGCCGAGGCACAGAACAAGGGCCACGTCAATGAGGCCACGGTTCGTCGAACCATCACGAAGGCGTTTCTGCAGTACAAGGAAAAGTATGATGCAACGAAGGAGAAGACAGGAGCTCACACTGCAGCAACAGCCAGCAACAAGAAGCCGACATCCGTACTGGGAGGGTTGTTTCGACAGGCTGGTGCAAAGAGAAAAGACAAAGCAGACAAGCAGCTCGCGGAGTATCTTGCTGAAGAAGGGCCTGAAGTTCCTACGGGAAAAATGGCCACGTTCAAGGAGTGGTGGGTGAGTCACGAAAGGTATTACCCAATCGTGGCCAAGATGGCGAGAAACTATCTCGCAATGCCTGGAACCTCTGCAGACTCGGAGCGCTCGTTTTCATTAGCCCGACAAATGATTACCGATTTCAGGCACAGCTTGAATCCTGAAACGGTTAAGGCTTGTATGTGTTTGAGATCGTGGCATGCTCTGGAGGACTCGGAAGTTCAGAAATGATGAAAGTTTTTGATTCACTGATGGTCAATATTACATCAGAAGGAAGCGCATACGAACATCTATCACAAAATAACCAAAATGGAAAGACACACAACAGCCAGACAACTTTCACTGAAGGGTGCGCGCTGATTCCAGTCTTCCTAGTGCACTGCATGAATGGGGATTAGCATGCAGTTAGTGTCAACGAACAAAAGTCCAGAGCGCAGGCAATAAAAAAAAAAACACGGAAAAGGACAATCAGCGTGCGATAAGCGTGCGTTATGTGGTACCCTAAACGGGCAAATAGAAGTCACATACCTGTTGCTGACGTGATATCGATGCAGAGAGGCGGAGTGGAGGGTAGCTTAGTGAAACGAGCCTACAAAGACGAATTGGGAAAATGAAATTGAGATAGTTCGGAGGAGGGGGTCGTTCTTGCAGGGGCACGCAGAGAATTTCGACTGTCGAGCAGGGGGGGAGTAGCCGGCGGGGTGAGGTGTACCGCAGTGGTTGCTGAAGCTTTTCCGTGCGAAGGGTCGCGCGGAAAATGAGTATGGTTGGGGGATGGGGGAGGGAGGGGGGAGGGATGGGGAAGGCGTGGTGTCACGATACCACGCTGTCAGCAGCGCTGGCGGGGTAAGCGACGGCTTGGGAGTGTTGCGCGGGAGCAATAGAAGCAAAAATTCTGGAGCCAATAACCTCCTCATCAGGCAAGTGCACATCAGTTGGCATCGCTGCCATATGACAGCTGTTTCACAGCTGTGTTGTCGCGTGAATCACGTGGGACCAGTCTGGCCAGCTATGAGGTGCATGTTCCGCATTGTTCACGGGCAGGAGGGAGTGTATCTGTTTCGTCCTCTTTCGAGCAGTGGTGCAGTCGATTACGAAGAAATCGGGGGTACAGTAAATATGTGACGGGGTTGAAAACAAAACAACAGTAGGCAGGTGAAAGCAGTAAAAAGTGACGGGTTGTGGAAAGAAAAAAAACAGTGGCATTAGCAAGCAGACTACACGTCAGTAGGCAGCATTCCCCCCACAATTGCCAGCTGTATTCCGCGTGAACAGCGACTAAATGACACGCACGGGTGAGAAGTGAATAACGACCAATACAGTCAGCTTAGCTGTCTATGTTGTTGTTGTAAAATTCAGAATAGCGACAACAATGCCACGTTGCAAAACGATCGTGTATGCTGTACCAAGATAAAATTCCACACTTGCCCACTGTCCAACTGCAAAGAAACGGCGAGCGGTTTTTGATCGTTTCCGAGCCAGACGAGGGCGTACGAGCTTCAGATGCCTGCAGGTAACAGCAGCGTTACCTGCGCCACATAGTCTCCTCGGTAGAAGGGTGTAACAATGGAGTGTACTACACTCCGCCATTCAACAGTTATGACACGATGAGTAATCTACAGAGGCAGTTCTTTTATTGTTATATGTCTGCAATGGACTGTGTTATGTGTGTGTGTGTGTGTGCAGTGGTAATAGTCTGCCAGTTTAAACCACATACGTACGCTCCAGAGTACAAGAGGGTTGCAACCAACAAAACGAAAACAACAATCAATAATCGCCGCAACTTTGTTTGCCCAAGGCAAACCTGTTGGTTACCATAATGCAAATGTGATTACAAATTATAATGCATGAAGCAGCATTGTTTTTGGAAGCAAGCAGCCGGGCACGTGTTGCGCGAAAGCCTGGTTGTGGAATGGACTTAGCTTAGCGTTGTTCACCTGTGCCCAGTCCTACGGTATGTGGTTTATGGTTAAGTGACACGGTTTTGTGTCGTTCACCGTACACGCTTATTGGAGCAGAGCATGTTTGGACACAGATGTTACTTCCATCCTCCACAAG